TCAGTGCAAGTAGCACATGGTTTAAATATGAATGGATGAACCTGTGATCTAGTCCTTGTCTTGTAATTGTGGATTAATGTCAGCGTTAATCAGCCCCTCAAAGGGAGAGAAAAGCCGGGCCTTTTCCCTTGCTGTACCATATTCAGCATTTGATTTCCATGGGCTCCACCATTTATGTGTAAAATTTGAAATGGTTGTCACCTCTCTCCGAGGAGCAAGCTTGAAGCCTCCACACCAGCTGCTGTTGGAGATTGAAAGCCCAACTGTGGGGCCAGGAGGGGAGCTGGCTTGGCTGGCCGCAGAGTGAGGACCCCTGGACTCTCCACTAATCTCTGAGGGGTTGTGTTCCCCAGGAAGGTTCTGAACAATGGGGCCATTGTTGGTAGGCATTTGGTGGATGTTCTTTTCTATTTATAAGTGACTTTAAACTTTCCCTTGGCTGTTAAGAAGTTTGTTATAGATTGAGCTATTTATTGTTTGAGGCCTGCATGCTGAAACAGTGCTTAAAATGGTCTTCACGTGTATGGATGTGTGTGGATGGTTGTATGTTTTGCACAATTTTGTGGCTGTTGGTGAAGCGCTTTGCTGCACAAATATGAAAACTTGGGAGTTACTGTTTGGAGTATAACTGGAGGGTGGGTTGGGAAGGGGGGGGTTTGTAAATGTCAAGACAGGGAAGGAGTACAAAACAAAAAACAAATCCCATCGTAGAGGTAGAGGACGCACAGAGGTCGCTTTTCTTAGACTCACTCACTTTTAATGGTGTTTCGTGGGCCCTACTCATGCTGATGGCTCATGGGGTGAGAGGGAAGGCTTCCTTCTGCCCTGCTCCTTCCCATCCGGTTCACCCACTTCAATCTCAGCTACTGAAATTTGGAAAGGACCAAGTCGCCTCGCGGTTTTTTTTTTTCCTTTGTGTCGTATCCTGAAATCCTGGAAAATGCTATGGCATCGTTTTGTATATAGGGCACAGGTAAAGGCATTGCCCCCGAGTTTATTTATTTCTCTATTTATTACCCTGTGAAAATGCTTTGCCATAACCACAGTTACCAGGAAAAGGCTGAATTGTCAACAGACGTCCGTGAATTCGCTCGCCAGATTTGCTCGACCTGGATGCACTGTTCTCGCTTCTCGCCTTACGACGTCGCAAGCGTTAGAAGTTCTTCAAGACCGCGTTCACGTTGGCACAGGGTAGACTTCAGCGCTCACCCTTCGCGAGGTCTCTAAAAGAACTCTTTGGTGTGTAAAATGACACATCTGGCAGGGAGACACCAAAGAATTATGAGCAGTGGCCCCCGTTGAGAGGTTTTTCCGGGAGAGGTGGGAATCTGTTGTGAATACATTCTTTGCTAGTTCGAGTGTTTGTTTACTAACCGTGTGCCGTGATAGGTATTAGTGCCGGACCCCACGAGGCGCTTCCTCAGGGGCGTCGGGGGAAGGCCAGGGGTTGCCAGTCAGCACCGCTTTCATCCGTGCTGTTCACGTTACCGTAGTTTAGAAAATAGAGCTTAGGACTGATAACAACAACCTTTTACATCGTGAGTGTGTTTGCATTGTCTAGTGACAGATCAACCCTTCGCATTTCTCTTTACCTGGATGCTTTAGACTAACTGTCCCTGTCTGTTCGTGCCACGAGTAAGTGGGCTATCGCTGGACCAAAAGCAATGAGCCGTTGGAATAAAAGCATCCCGGTACTTTTCCAGCAGTCAGCCCCTCGCTCCTAGATGTGTTGCAAGCCATGCAAATGTCTAATTGCACCCTGGCAGCAGAGGGGTGGCATTTATACTGTAGCTCTTACAGCTCTCCGGTTTATGATGCAAATCTGCCGAGATGTGTGTGTGTCACTGCGTGATTTCTGAAAGCGGGATGAATTTTCTGCAGCTGTTTCAAAGTTGTGGTCTGTCCTTGAATCCTCTATTAATTACTGTGTGTGAGCCAGAGGGAGCCGTGGTCAGGGTGGGCCCCCAGCCTGCAGGGAACTTTCTGGACTCCCGCTCTTTGAATTGATGTAGGCATTTGGGCTCACTACTTGACCATTCTCACCCTGTGAAACGTCCCCCACTTTGAAGCAAACACAATTCACAGCACAGTGCACACAAAAACCTTGGCAGAAGACAGAGAAGGTTCTTCTTATTCTGTGGACTGGTTGCTGTGGAAACAGATAACAAAGGGCAGCCTTCCACTTCTGGTATAATTGTGTAGCCCCCTTTTCTCTGGGCTTGACACCTGTCTGAATAAGAGTGATTAGAGCTGAATAATATCCCTCTCTTGGCTGTTGAATATGTGGTTCACGTACCAAAATCCGTGTAAGTTGAAGTGAAGTGTTCGTGTTCGTATGTGCTCAGTTGCCACTACTACATTTTTGAGGTTTCGTAAAACTGTTATTTTTGTTTTTCACAATGTGAAACCGAAGGTCAAATAAATTATTGGAGTTCTTCTCTTCATTGTGTGTGTGAGTCTTTATTTTAACACAGCAGAACTTAATCTGCGGAAATCTTGTGTCCTTTCTAGCTTAATCAAGATGAGGGTCGTCGCGTGTATTTTCTGAAGGCCTTTCTTGCGCCATCTAGTCACGTACAATCAGGAAAGCAGTTTTGCGCATTGAATCATTAAAAATGTTGGCCTTTTAGGATATTTCTTTAAGCGAAGCAAAACACCTCAGTTCTGGGTTATTGGTAGCTTAGAATATAAAAAGTCACATATCGGGGCGCCTGGGTGGCGCAGTTGGTTAAGCGTCCGACTTCAGCCAGGTCACGATCTCGTGGTCCGTGAGTTTGAGCCCCGCGTCGGGCTCTGGGCTGATGGCTCCGAGCCTGGAGCCTGTTTCCGATTCTGTGTCTCCCTCTCTCTCTGCCCCTCCCCCGTTCATGCTCTGTCTCTCTCTGTCCCAAAAATAAA